CGATACGAGCCAAGGAACGACTTGTGTACTCCTGGGGGGAGTGGGGTGAAACAGAGTAGGAGTACTGCCGGAAACTGTGCACTGAGACTTTCCAGTCGGGCCTCGAGAGTGTAGGAAAACCCGTGGATGTGGAATCCGTTCAGTTTGCATGTGTCCACTCTAAAGGACTGGGAAGCAGTATTTGCTCGTGTCTGTGTGTGGCCACGGTCGTCTTGACGCTGCCTCTGTGAGTGTGTGCATCACATATGCGTACATGCCTCAATTAACAGCTCACTGACCCAAAGTGTGAATGCATTTGTGTGCGATACGAGGACGTGTTTCTTTTCTGAGCACTGTGTCATCTACACACTCTCTGACCCTTATCTTACTTCAGCTCACAAGCCTTCAGCCTCGGGACTTAAACAAACATCAAGCAATGTTTGAAAAGAAAAAATGCAGTGACAAACTCCCCTTACTGCCTTTTGGCACAGAAATCAGCAGCTGTTTCGCAATGTTTTCCTGGTTGACAGACAACTAAAATGCTCCAAATTGCTAAAATATGTCTGTTTAGGTTTTACTCTAAGCTTTTTATTGAGCAGTTGAAAAGAAAAACATGCAAAAAAAAAAAAGACTTCCCATGCAGGCTCATCTCCCATAGCGCTGTGTGGTGTGATGACGCAGTTTGATCCAATTACTCACTGAGCTGAGTGCATTGTGTACAGTTAATAAATTCAGCTTTTCTGGAAATCAACTCTAACTATAACATTTACAATGGAGGGTTTTAATCTGCTTTTCACCGCACAAGTAAAAACAGAATGACAAAAGTCTATATATACATATAAGCAAAGCTATCTGTTTTCTTCTGCTCTCTCCGTTTTGTGCTGGCTGTTATGACACGGCTGTCCAGATGTTGTTGTGGCATCGTTTCCCACATGTTTTGTGGGGGTCTGGTGGATTGCGCAGCACCAACCGGGCCTAAAACGTTGGCGACTTCAGTTTCTAAACTCGCTGCTTCTGCCTGAGACCTCCATGACAGCCAGAGTGTTGCAATGGCCCCATAACAGCTGACCACAGTTTAAGTGCAACACTGAGATTTACAACTCCAAGTGTCCAAATGAGGTCCATGGTGATTTGCAGCTATGCAAAGCCAAATTTGCACAGGGAATGTGCATAAAAGTGGATCATTTTAAAAATGAAATATAATAAAAAATGATTAACACACTTTTCTACAAAAGCATTTAACTGAACAACATTCCTGAAACTTTATGGAGGATATTAATAGAAATTTCTAATTTAATTGCTCAGTGGATGATTTTGATTAGAACTCAGTAGTTTAGTGTTTCGGTAAATTAAGAAGATAAATATTTTTAAAATACTAACATGTACAGTTGAAACCAGAGTTTTCCATACACTGAATAAAAAGACAAACATTTTTTAATCACTGTCTGAAGTTCAGCCAAAATATTTCTTGTTTAAGCTTAGTTAGAATTACCAAAATTATTTATATTTACTAAAAGCCAGAAAACACAATGAGAACATTTTAAAGAATATCTTTAGTAACTTTTCTCAATTTCAGAAGTTTACATTCCTTTGTTCAATATCAGGAATAACTGTATTTCAAAATGTATGACTTTGGTTTTATAAACATAGGAAGTTTGGGTTTCTTTCCACAAACCTCTGATAACTGACACATTTGAGTTGATTGGAGAAACTCCCGGCGATGTAATTTGAAGCAACATTTCTGTCTTACTCGATACGATAGGAAGGTCCAAAGAATCAGCCAAGATATCAGGAAGAGAATTGTGCAGCTACACAAATCTGGTTCTTCCTTGTGAACAACTCATCAATGCTTTAAGGTTCTGTTCAAACAGTTTCATAGCAGTAAATACATGATGGGATTGTCCACCTGCTCAGAAAGAAGATGGATTGTTTGTCATAGAGATTAATGTACTTTGGGCCAATATTTGCAGATTTAACCCAATTCATACATTTCAAAAAACAGTTACCCCTGATGTGTAGGTGTTTGATTCAAGGAAAGCTAAAAAAAAAAAAAAAATTCCAAATATTTTCTTGCTGTGTTCTGGCATTTAGCAAATAGAAATAACTTTTGTAATTCTAACTAAGCCAAAACGGGAAAAGTTGAGTTTGTCTGAGTTTCATATAGTCATAAAAACCTGTTTGTGTCCTTTTATTTAGTGTATGTATATCTCTGGTTTTCACTTTAATTTCTTTTCATTTTTAGAAGAATGAGAATGTTCTATTAATTGTTCGGGGCATTTTCAACCTTTGTGACATTACACACTTTGAGCCCCAATTAGACCAAAAAACACACAGAGTGACCAAATTTTGCTGGAGTAGATTATGAGTAGATTGCGGAAAGAATACTGAAATCATCAGCTGTCAACGCATGTGAATAAATCATTCTGTGTACAAAAAGTTCCCAATGAAAGAACTGTACATAATGAACCATGTTGTGTTCTGTGTCAAATATCTTACCCATTAAAAATCATGATGTGTACAACACGATCAGAGGTTTAAAAATTTAACATCCATCTTTTTCCTAGAACACAGCTTGGTTGTCCAGAGAGGCCTGAGGTAATCTGAAAGTCTTAAAGCAAAGGCAGATCGTGATGTGCAGCCAGAGGCCAAGGGCCAGATTCTGGAAACTAGCTCGGAGCAAAATAAGGAATGGTCATGAAGTGAATGAGTTCTGATTCTGTTCTGCTCAATCTTGGCTGCAAAATGAGAGAGTTTAGCTTTCACATCAGTACAAACAGCTCTAGCTGGAATTATCCTCTATGTTTGGGTTTCTAAAGGAATATCAGGGGTTAAGATTATAACCTCTAGGTTTTAATCTCAGTGCTTCCATATATTTCCAAAGTGTTTACATCATCGTATTTAGTTTTTTACAATCAAACGAGAATGTCAGCTGGTTTATACTTGGACCGTATAGTAGATGCATCATTTGCAGCAAAGTTTCCAGCAAAACATTCTTATAGCACTGATTGCATCAAGAGAGCAACACCAGGCAGAGTGAATGCTCACTGATGTGGACAAGGCCAGCAGGAGTCAGATTTTCCAGGCTGCATGCGTTCTTAGTTGAAGATGCAACACTGACAGTTGGGGCTTGAGGTCATGGTCCCATAGAGCCAGATGGAAGCCCAGCCCTGCATACTTACTCTGGACCTGCTAGTGCTGATGTAGAGTGCTGACGTCTGTTTGGAAAGCACCAGATGCTGCTGATTTAAGTTTCTATTACTCACACTCAGGCTGGGGCTCACAGCGAGGAACGGCCAGGAATACAGTGCCTTGCATAAGTGATCTTAGACCTTGAATGTTTTCACATCTTTTACTGGTGAGCGATTGTGAAGTGGAAGGAAAACTGTACTTGGTTTCAGCGTTTTTGATAAATTTATCAAGCAAACCAAATCATCTGAAAATAAACAGCTCCAAAAATACCAATGTTCATTAGTCCACATAAGCTGACTGGGTAGAAAAGGAGATCAATGTAAAGTTTATTATTCCCAAGGATAATTTGCTTAGAAAAATAAAAATAAGATTGGTAGGAACACAAATAACCACAACATTCATGATACAACCAGGAAACAAACATAGGTGTTTTTGTATGGGCCTTTCAGGTGTTTTTGTTAGGTGTTTATGAGGCTGATACTAACAGGAACAAATGAACATTTATACATTTTTGCATTACACTTTATTACCATATATCGGCAAGTCGATGGCATTAACCTGTAATTGATATGGTAAAGAGTGTGGTTTAGGTCAGTAAAGGCAACTTTGACCTTTCTTGAAACCAATTCAGTAGAAGTGATAGAGCTCTACAAAACTTATGTCGATTATTTTGATGCACATTTTCACAGTACTGTTTGGGCTGTGCTTATGTTTTCACCAACAAATAAAAAAAGTAGTTTGTAGATACGCAAATCAGGTTAAGACACGTAACTAAAGACTGTAACTGTAAGTTGTGGCGCTCCAAGAAATTAAATCGGGGATGAGTAAAAGTGCAAGTTGCAGATTTTTAAAAAGTTGTTGAGAATCATATATCATTGTCCTTCGCTTAACAATTGTGTGTTATAAAATTGTAAAACAAAGGTTGTGGTTCTAACATGAAAAACTGTGAAAAAGCTGAAGGAGTTGACATTGGCGAGGCACTGCTCCTACTGTCACCTTTCTTCTTGTTCCCATCCACCCCTCATCATCCACGTCCAAGATGTCCAAAAATGATCTTGCATGGAGTTGGGAGTGTCAAGATAGTTTAGATATCATTTAAAGGCCAAAGAGCTTCCTGACTTTTTGCCATCAGCTACATGCATGCTGTGCATCAGGATTTCTTTTTTTCTCTGCCACATCTGATATCACTTCGTGCAAAAAAGGCATGTTGAAAATTTCCCTTGATTCCACTTATCTGACAGAGAGCTGGAGCCGAGCAGAGATTTCAGATTGATAATGACACGCTCTAACAAACTAACAGATACATTTACATTCAGGTTTATTTTGGCAGCCTGTGATTTATGCTGTTGATGTCATCTGTGGTGTATGTTTGCGACAATCTTCTATACGGAGGGAAAAAAATAGTCTCTGTACCAAATGTTATTATAGTGGCCCAAATACAGCTGCCAACATGAAGTCATGGGGCGGCGCCTTTTGACAATATCGTCCTCGGCTGAATGCTTCTTTTTTTTTTTTCATGGCTGACTGACTGTTCGCAATCATCTCCCTGTTGAGAATCAGAGGAATAATTTAACACAGCTGTAATGGAAGCAAACGTCATTTATATGACTGCATATCGAGCCAAAACCGTGTGTAGGAGTGTTCTGCATGTGATGAAGTTTGATATATGAGTGCAACGAAGATGGAAACACCCAGTTGTTACCCGTGTGCTATAGAAGTGTGTTTTAAAATGTCCTTCTGCAGGAAAACCACAACTTTGGACAGTCGCTTTTTTTGTTTGTGTTTTATCATATCAAAAGCCAAATGAAATTCTTATTTTTGTCCTGTGATAGGCCAGACCCAAGGGGGAAGGACTGACACCCTACCAAGGGAAGAAGAGATGCTTTGGCGAGTACAAGTGTCCCAAGTGTAAGAGGAAGTGGATGAGTGGCAACTCCTGGGCCAACATGGGACAGGAATGCATCAAGTGCCACATCAACGTCTATCCACACAAACAGGTACATCAGCCAACATATCGCGACTTGATCTGAGTGGGAAAATGTTGCACACGGAATCTGGCTCATTTCAACCGAAGTTAACTGAATTCAGACTCTGGTTCAAGGATTTTCCAGATGGCCTCACTTAAGGGAAATAAAAACCACTTTATCTGAACTGATGTACAAACATTGAATAAACAAATTACATTTCCTGGTGCATAAATATTTAGAATTAGGCAGTTAATCTGCTCAAGCCTCAAAAGAAAAACGCATTTATGAATGCCTCACTTAGAAATTCCTGCCGCTTAGGAAGTGGCAAAAAGCCTTGTCGTGTTCAGGAAGAAAACATGAAATCATATTAACCATAAAGTTTTTTTTTTTTCCAACCCACACATGCTGCAATTAACATGCTGCACAACCAGTGTTTTGCTTTCTGTCCAAAAAATGTTTCTCAGAGCTTATTTTGGTGTAGAGGCAAAGAAAGAATCCACTGTTTTCCCGCTGGAGATATATTTATCCCAAACACTTCATCTTTTAATATTTATGCTTCTCCACATTCCAGCAATTCCACTTCCAGAAATAAAATTAGGCTGACTGCTAGAGGCCCAGCTCTCTGTTAACCTTTGCAAAAGCTGAAGCTGGAAATAAAAGATTTCCCCCCATGTGTCACGGGTGAAACAAATGAAAGTAAAGCTTCAATTTTATATTTGGCTTTCATAAAAATTTAGCTTTGTGATAAATAACTACATTCTTTTCTTTTAATCTATACACCTTAAATTGCTATTTTGATTTGAGCTGTATCTGGAAGTCATGCCAGGAATTTTCAGCTTTAACTGATTTGACGTTTTTTCATTCAAAATATTTTAAAGGAACAGTGTTATGTTTTTCCAGGCACATGGCGCCATTTTATAGCCTTTTGTATCTTTAATTTATGGCTTTCAAAGGAGCGTTGAACTGAGTTGTCGTTTGTATGATGAGCTCAGCAGACTCTCAATTCCAACAGGTGTTTGCTAGTTACTGCTGCTGCTAGTCTGGAGGAGATGTGTGGGGGAGGGGTGCTCTGTGAGATGGAGGCTCTCCAGATCCTAGAAAACATATAACTTGTGTCTTCTAACAGACTGCTGATATTTCTACTTTGCATTTTCTCCCTAATAGAGTATGAGAGCTCAAAAATTTAAATTAAAACAACTTTCTGATATTCAGTCAGCTGCTGTGGCCTTTTATATCTCCTCTATAACGTATCACTGCACATTGTTTGCTTTTATGATGAGTTTTTGGTTTATTTAATGAGATTTCTGACAATGCTATATTATAAATTTGTCCAGAAACATTTCGACATCAAACAAAACCATTCCTGGATTGGGATTATGTATCAGTGGCCTCACCCTGATATCTGATCCAAGAACAATGCCACATTGGATCAGAACCGTCCCGACCCTAATATTTTCGCACTTCATCGAGTCTTGATTTCACAGCATCCTACTTTTATATCACACACAACTAGTTTTCAATAGGACAATAGTAGCCAATTCACTTCCTCAGTCTGAATGAGTCTCTGGCTCGACTGCAGTTCAGCAGGAGATAGAACGTCCGCCACGGTTTCCTGAAATCACTAAAGGAGCACCATAAAATCTCCATTAGATTTTCCAGTTTTGCTTTGGGACTTAATGTCTTTGACACAGCACTAGTAAAGCCCCAGATATTGCTGGAAGAGTCATTAGTGGAAGTCTGAAGTATCTCTTTGTAATGACCCATGCCAACCAGGTTTCCTTTAGTTAAAGCAGTTGGAATAAATAAGTGTTTCGAGAGGGAGTTAAGGGGGGGACTCCAGAGAAGAAAGGAATAAATGAGAGGGAAAAATTTCCAGATGGGCTGTTAAAATCACCTCCAAACATGGTCGCTGTGAAACGTTTCCTTTGTAGCTGATAATGATTCCAAGAAAGCTGATGCTAATATTTCCAAACAAGTCTATCATAATCAGATGAAAATGTCCCTCTTTTCTGGTACAGCTAAAGCATGCTGAGGCTTTACATATCTCTGAGCTAATTGTATTCAGTATAAACCTGTTTTATGAAGAACTTCCATGTGGTGTGCATCAGGCCAAACAAACTGCTGGAAAAACCGCTCGCTCTATAGTTTATAGAGTAGTAACTAACATCTTTACTTCATTTAAATGTGAATAATCAATTCAGTTTTATGAGTCTCCATAAATTATTTTAAAATTTGAATCACCCCTCCCCCCCTTTTAAATAAAGGATTTCTATCACAAACAGTCTGATTGACATCAAAATGTTTACACCTCAGTTAAAATAGAAAGATTATAAGAAGAGCCTTTGTGAACAGCATTTGATGTAAACGTTTCTCACCGGAGAGACTGTGCCTGCCGATTTAGGGAGAGCGTTAACACCTGGGTCTATTCAACCAATCAGGGCTCTGGTATCGATGTACCTATAAGTATTCTGTCAGAACTGAGAATAACACTTTGCGACATAAAAACATTCAGATTTGCACCATCTGTTGGCAATAAGAGGTTATGACTATATTTGTGGGATCTGGCAAATGACCTGGTGGAAAGCACTTACTTGCAGGTACCAGGTCAAAACCAAAGTGTCCTTCTTTCCTTAATTAGTCTGACTCATTATTTGTTTTGTTTGTTTCTCCAGCGACCTTTGGAGAAGCCGGACGGCCTGGATGTGTCTGACCAGAGTAAAGAGCACCCACAACACTTGTGTGAGAAATGTAAAGTCCTAGGCTACTACTGCCGCCGCGTGCAATAATCAGCTCCACCCAGAGGGAAAGAACTTTGCCATCATAACTCATGTTATCTGCCTATTGACAAGCAGGTCTTCCCTTCTTGTCCACTCTGCTTCCGGACAGTAGCTCTAGTCCTCTCTTTATATTTCTGATACCTTCCTTATGTAAGATCAGGATCATTCATCTTGCACGCTTTCCAACAAATTGTAAAACCATGTACTAGAAACTGCATTACTCCAAATGTATATTTAACTCCAGCAAATTAATGTATCGATGAATTAGCACCAAGCATGTATCGTATTGGTGTTACTGACAATATGTTTATTGTCAATACCTCACCTTGGGGTTCGTTGGCTTTGTGTTTACAGAGATCTGCTTTCCTTTTTCTTGCCAAGTGAAGTATGCGATGTGGTGAACATTTTAGTCAGGAGGCTTCTAGCGATGGTAAAATGAAAAAGAAGGCCGTCGGCCGTTCGTTTTAGGGGTCAGCAGCACATCTTACTAACTGTGAATTAACTGAGGGATAAAGTGCCATACATCCCGATCTTACATTTCACATATTTATTTCCTTTTCTTCTAGTGTGCAATTTGAAATTTAACTGGGACATATGGAATTTTTTTTTCTATGTTTGTGTATCACATTGTGTTACTGCATCCATGTGTATTTAGGAACTACTGTAGTAGGTTCAGTCGTATAGCGTCGCTCCTCAGATGGATTTTTGAAAAAGTTGACAGAAGCGGTTTCACCGAACCCCTCTGGAAATTTTTCTTAGCTTTGCAAATTTGGAGATAGCTGTATTGGGCGGCAGCAGCAGATGTTGGACAGATTACTGTAGCTTCAAATCAAAAGAAGAGTCAATCTATAGGACAAGTTTCAGTCTGAACATGATTTTGTTAAACAGTATTCTTTATAGCAATGAAGTTCTTGCCATGCTTTGAATTAAATTAGTATTTATACAGTATATATGAAAAACTTAGAAGTTAAACTGTTGAAATATGTTGTAGTTATATCTGGTAGATATTTCCAAAGCTTTCACCTTTGTGTCCAGAATAGGGAGGCTATGCAGGAAGGCTAAAGGTATGGCTCAGGGCATTTGAAGAGAGGTTTTGTTTAAAAGTTATGATGCCTACTTGCGTTTTTATTTTGTATAAATCCAAATTAGCTGAATCCATAGGCTGAACCTAACCGTTACTCAGAGAGGGGCCAGCAGTTTGAAGGAAAAATGTCTTGTTTGAACTTTTAAAGTGCGGTCACTTTTACAGTGGGCGGTATCTGCACAGAAAATGGAGGTATGAGGCAGTGCACCACTAATGATCTTCCTCTGTGATTCAGGCAGTGAAAATACCACAGGGGGCTTTTCTTGCCAGGTTAATGCTGTTAAAAAATAAAAATAAAAAATATTAATTGGTGTAAAAAGGAAAATATTACAGCCGTTTAAATTAATGCAATTTTATGTATTTTTGCACTGCCTTACTTTTCTGTCAGATAAATTACTCTTGGCAAAAATTTGGTTTATTAATATTGCAGCAATTCACAAAACTTTATTGAGTTCAATCACACATACATTCCAATTGATGCTAGTTATCGAACAGTACATTAAGCTCAGTTTATTATTCAATGTGAGGTGAAAAGAGGAAACCCATCATCTAGTCATTGACTTGCAGCTTCCGCCCCCCAGGATGAGCACATAGTGACAATCACTTATATTGTTGTTGACCTTATAGCGATCCCTCATACCTAGCATTCATGTTGCAACAGTGAAGAAGAAAAATGGCCCTTTAATGGGAAGAATCTTCCAGCAGAAACTGGCTCAGTATTAGAGACCATCTGCCACGACCGACTGGAGATTTGAGAAGCCAGAGCAGAATATACAAAAAGAAACAGATGAACCGATGTAGGTTATTGTTTATGCTCATGGAAGTAAAAGGTTATTAGCAGGAGAGGGAAATCGATTAGTTGATGGAAGCATAATCTCAGCCGACGCATTCCTCCAGGAAGGTACTATAGCCGAAGCAAAAGCAGACAGAAACAGAAAAACAACAACAAGGAAAACGAAATGCTAACACTTAAAATATGAGCAAATAATACAAATTGTAGAGGAAAAGAAGAAGAAAGTGAGAAAGTGCAGCATGATTTTATACAGGAAGGTTATCGGTGCTCTGTCTCCTACTTTTATTATTTTCCTAATATTATTACCAACTTGTGTAAAAGCACCCCAGTGCAAACAATTTCAGTACCAATAAATGTTTCCATTATATCGTTCCTTCAGTTTCAAATATTTATATTGAGATTCAAAAGAGTCTGCAGAAGTTACCAGCGCCTTCTTGGACAGTATGGAGCAATAAGTATCTTTATACTCCCCCTCCCCCACATGTTACTGTGGACTGCCAGATGTGTGGCTGAAAGACGGATGCTGACCTTCTCAATTTTATTCTATGAAATAAAATCATAAAATCAAAAGGAAGTACAAGAACAGAAAAACTACTATTAAATCTCGTGGGTGCTTTCCAGAGTTTTTAAGTCTATTAAAATAATTGTAAGAAATTGTAAAATATAACGTTATTATAACAATAATTAGCAATATGTTAATTATTTAGTAGCAGTTAAAATAATTGTCCCTCTCCTGTTATAAATTAATTAGGCATGATATGTTTTTATATTTTTTTTTTCATTTTTGTGTAAATACTGCGACACTCTAATATTGTTACTCAAGCTTATCATACTGTGATAATCTAATACTGGCATGTGCCTTGTGTAGGATGGTAGCTGTTCGCTTTGGTCTTTTCTTTTCTTTTCTTTTAGAAAGTTATCTACTGCTGGTAAGATGTTGGTTAATTATAACTTTTTAATGGAACCTCACTTTGAAAATCCCAAAGTATCTGTTTCAAGCTCAGAATAAGTGCAGAGATAACTCCTAAGTGGAGGAATTCAATTTAAACTCTGGCTAAGTGAAAGGCAAAGCTGATAATTGTTATGTATACTGAAAGTAATGTAACACAGTCAGTTTTTCAGTGCCTTCAGGAGGTATTATCAAACCGTAGATCTGGAGAATTACAGAGGGAGTTTCATATTAGTTTCAAATGATCGGAATCTACCTTTCAAGGACTTGTGACCCCCATTATATGTACTGTATCTGAAGCCTTTTCGATGCTGGTTGAGTATATATTTTTTTATACTGTAACATGTACGTGCCTTCAAAAGATTTCAAAGAGTGAAGGGTAAGTGCCGTGGGCTCAGAGGTGGAACTGCGTATGTGCTAACTGTGATGTTCAGAAAGTCTGATGGAGGTTCAAGATGTGACAAAGGATGAGAAAAAGATTAAAGCCCCTCTATTAGCGGTTGAACTGGCATGGCGGGTGTTCGCTTCAGAGCAGTTTGCTGGACCAGCGTTTCCAGCTGGCAATAACAATCCCACTGTGGTCTGTTGTCATGGAATATCAACATAGATGTTATTTCTTTTTAGATCCTCACAACAGAACGAAATGCTTATAAAACTTTGGACCTCACGCTTTGTTTTGTTTCTCCTTATAATCTGTTGTGGTTCCATTTATCCAAGAAAATACTGGTTTTGTTAAAAAAAGAAAAAAAAACATACACATTTACTTGCAGTACTTGGAGTCATACTGGTACATTGCTGTGTGTGTGGAAATGAAGCAAACGCCAACTTTTCAGTTAAAAAGGGCACTCCAGGGATTTAGTTCGTAAAGCTGAAATGCTTAACACTAACAAAAGCAAATCTCTTATTCACTTTCAGTCACTTGGAATAAGCTCAAAATCCCACAAACTTGTTTTCCATATGGTCCCATAACATAAACTTTTATAAACTACACTGCCTGTTAAAAGATGACATCACACCTGGCATTGACTTGTGTTTTTGGGATGATTAAATCACATATGGAGACCTGAAAGTACATCGACTCATGCCTTGCATAAATGTGATGTAATCTGATTTTCCTGCTAAAAACAACTAGCTTGCAGGATATTTGTTTGCAAAGACCAGATGTATTATTTTTATTTTATTTTTTTACCAGTTATGGGCTTTAGTGCATTTTCATTCCTCATCTGCTTGCAATGAAATGCTTATGCAAACAGTTGGCACCTAATTGTAGCAGAGAACTTGTTGCTTATTGAGTACTAAAGGCATCTGGCAGTATGTCTACAAAAAAGACCCCCTCTTATTGAACCATTAACAGTAGGATCACATTGCATTCACAGGACAGGTGTAAAGATCCCTTGTGATTTGATTTAGTGTGAATGCCATGTGGTGTCAACAGCCAAGATGCAAATATTAGCGATCTCCAAGCCGTTGCTGATCATTTTCACCAATTCTGAGTTGTTTTAAGAGCTGTACTTTCCGCAATTGAAATAGAATGCAATAAAACATAAAACTAAACAATGATTTTCTCCAAAACCAAAGTTAGAGCACTAAAACTTAGGATTTCTAATTGTAAACAGCAGTCTCTTTGTGTGCATTTGATGTAAAAATGAACGGACTTTAACTGATTTCCAAAACAATGCCAACTCTTTCAACTCCAGTACATTTCATAACAGGCTAAACTGGATTCATTAAAGAGGAAAAAACAAAGGAACTTAATTAAATACGCTTGGCTCCCTGTTTTCTGCAAATGTCTCGTTCCCTGTTTAAAAGTAGCAGGCTGAAGGAGGAGGCAACACGTCTCTATAGAAAGTTGCTCCTTTCTGGAATATTCTCACATCCTCTGTGCTTTTCTTCTTTCCTTTGTTACAACTTCCACACTGAGGACTGTTGTTAGTATAAATGGTTGACTTAGCTGTGACACATTCATTGACATGAAAAATGATCAGGTTTATAGATTTTTAGGGATAAAGTGAGTCCTAGTCATCATTGTCTTCTTGATGCATTTTTGCTTAAAACTAAGAAGCCTTTCAATTGGCATTTTCAGATTAAGTGAGATTACGTGTCATTAGGATGTTGTTGACGTAATTTTCTCCGTCTTGAAAAGGTGTCACTTTTTCAAAACCTGAGAATGGGCGAACTTTATTTATTGAACTGGAGGACTGCCCCTTTAAACAGAAGATTTTGGATTTTTTATTTATTTATTTTTTTAATCTTTAGTCAGACTCCTCACGCTCATCCATTAATGGGAACAATCCATTTGTCTTAATGTTAATATTCTCCTTTTGCTTTGTTCAGTCACACTAACTGGTTTGCCAGAGTACATACCAATGATGCCTTATAAATTAACCTCATGAGTAACATTGTTATTATGGGAGAAGAAAATCCCGTCAGAAAGTTTGGTTCCACACAGGAACGGGACATAATGGTGCCATTATAAATGACATCTCTAGAATCAACTGATGGAAGACATTGAAAACAGAGAATGAACTATTTAGAATTTTCTAGTACATCATCAGATCAGAATTAGCTTTTTTTTGTTTTCTATGAATAAGATGTGTATTTTGGAAACATTACTAGATGTTGAAATTTCTAAAGCAATCTGCAACTTATTTCCCTGACTAAGATGTTTTATGTATATATTTGATGGCCATGAGTTCCGATGTTTATCAATATATAGCTTTTTTTTGTTTGTTTGTTTGTTTGTTTGTGTCTATAAAGAAGGGCCTATCGCTGAGAAATAATCAAAGCTGGGAAATTGTTTCTGTTTTATTTTACACTCGTCTGGAGGAATATCCTGCAGAAATATTTATGGACTTTTTACAACACTTTTTGTATAGAATATGCAACAAAGTCTCACGAAGAAGGAAATATTGATGTCTACATAGAATATTATTAGAGAAAAAGCTGGTACATAATTAATACCCTTTCTCATTTATAAGCCATTGTTTTTTCCACTTGGTAGCAGTGTTAAATAACCCACATTGCTATGCGACTAACCCGCCTTAAAGCCGTATGTATTCTTTTTGTAAACACTAATATGCAGATTTGTTGTGTTAACATGCAGAGATGATGTATTTGTTGTTTTCTTATCTAGTGATGGATATTCACCACTGTATAAGCACATTAAACTGTGAGATGTAGTTTGCTTAAAGCAGCGACGACAGGAAACTGTTAGAAAAAAAACAACGTATTTGTAGATTAGGACGTGCTACGCTTTTGTCAGGAAGGTATGTTTGACAAAGAACTGTCCCGAGTTTGCATGTGCATGTGTTTGGATTTGGATGAAATATTACTTTGTGCAATTTACACTTATTTAAATCCTTTTACAGTAGTTTTAACATTATCAGCAACTTTAGTCCTGAAGTATTTCATTTAACAGAAGTGTAGCCTCTATGATTAACACATATTTACTGAATGTAATGTGTTAACACTTAAATGTGGTCAAGCTGGAACGCTCTGTTTCTTTCTGTGCTGTGTGTGTGTGTGCGCGTGTGTGTGTGTGTATCTCTTGAGATGTTTGCAATGCAATATTGCAATAATGTTATGTTTGAATTGGACGGAACGCAGGCGAGAGGTGAATGATTTTTTTTATTTTTTATTTCTTTTAGTGTTTTTTGGGGGTGGGGGGCGAACATGGACCGGAGAGGTTTGGAGCGTCGGCCACAGGTCTGTTTTTTCACGTCCATGAAACGGCATTCCAAAATGTGCCTTATTTGATAGATGGGAAAACATTTTAGTGCTTTGGAGCTGTTGAGAGCTTGATGAATAAAAGGCAAATTTATATCTGCTCAAAGTGTGTTTTGTTTTTATTTATCTTGTGTCTGGTTTCAGCCAATACCTCCTCATTGATTCCTGATGTGTCCAGTGCGTGTAGAAGAACTTTCCCACATTTTAGCACGTTGCAACAACAGATGAAAGTAGTTTATAAGGATTTTATAAACTACCGCAGCAGAGTAGTGCCATTTACTGTAGTTAGTAAAAAGGATACCTGTATTTTCAGGGGTTTTTTAAATATTTTTTTACAAATAAAAGACGAAAAATGAGATGTGCATTTGTATTTTACCCTTTGAGTTAATAGCTTAAAGGAGAGTCTCTAGCAGTTTGCACATTCAATGACTTTCTCCAACTATTCTTCTTTTCAAAACAGCTCCAGCTGCACTTTGGCTTGACCGTTTTAATCATTTAACAGGTTTTGATTTAAAACCTGGCTCTAATGTTTGGGGTCATTGTCCTGCGAGAAGGTTAACCTTCCACTCAGTCTCAATTCTTTTTCTGGCTCTAACAGCTTTCCTTCCAGGATTACTCAGTATTTTCGCTTCATCCATTTTCCCATCAACTCGGACCAGCATCGCTTCTGCTGGGAGACGAAAACTTCCCCAGAGCACGGTGATGTCACTGCCACTTTTTATTGCTAGAATAGCGTGTTCGGGGTAATGTGCGGTGTTAGTTTTCCTTCACACAGGACAACACATGTCATTTTTAGCACCTTCTGTCTTAAATGGGGCTTCTTTTAGCTTTTGTAGTGTGTTGCCTGGTCTTGCTGATCCCATTTGCTCCGGAATGACCTTCTGACCCCTTTACAGAACAGCTGTATTTATACTCGGATTCAATTAGCCACAGGTGGACGTTAGAAACTAACAAGGTTGCAAGCATTTGGCTTCACTGTATTTCATCAAGGGATATCAGAGTAAATGGTGTCTACAGCCTCTTTCTAGCACTTTACAGTAAAGCACTACTTTATGTAGGTATAGCACATAAAATTTCATTAAAATGCAGTGAAGTGAAGTTTGTAGTGGCGATATAACCAAAGGCCATAAATAGTTGTGCAAAAATCTGTTTTACAATCGCTACATTTCTATCTGTGAAGGCTCTAGACACAGGACATAGATTACGGCGAAGAGGTTCCTAATGGATTATCCGTGGTAGTTGTGTTATGCAGTCGAGTGAGACGTGTTTAAAAAGACTTTTTTTTTTAAAGAAAAAAAGAAAACATTCAGTGAAAGTGCTGAAAGATAGCAGACACATAAAGCTGCCAGGCCTCGCATTTCAACACCCGGAGTCTGGCTGTGGATAGAAAACCCCCCAAAGACGCATAAAAAAAAAAGGACACTCGCTGACACGGGTGCTGGGTGATAAATGCGAGCCGTTTCGCCGAGAAGGCGGCCGGTCCCAGCTGTCAAGACGTCATTGTTTTGCACTTGTGTCGAGGACAGTGCCTCTCTCCTCCAGGCCGAGCTTTCCTAATCACAATATTGAACATGCATTCCAAATGGCTGCGAACGAAGAGAGGGTGGAGACCCAAATGATACCAAGTTTGTCACAACATCTTTTAGCCCAAACAGAGCGTGAGCAGGACAAAAAAAAAAAAAGTCTCTATGGCAACAATGTAATCTGAGAATTCAAACAAACGATGGAAGGTCAGGACACATGTGCTTTCATTTAGGGGCGAGAGCTTGCCTTTTTACGTCGCTTCATTATTTACTTTCATGAAGTATTAGGTTGATGAGCAGCACCACCCACTCTCAGGCTTTCGGGTCGGCCCGGGCCTCCTCCCCTCTTCCTTCTGCCTTTCAAATAAAGATCCTACGTGCAAATCCAAACACATCCTCAGGTTCCTCTGTGGTTCCAGAAAAACCAAATCATTTGCACTGACTGAACCCGGAGCACATATACCGTAGTTCACATGTTCATCATCTGGTAACTGTATTCAAATCGGGGGGGATGTCACATCCTGCTCCAAAGGACAGGAAGTGTCCTGAAGTGTGAGTCTAAAAAAAGCAAGGGGAACGTTTTTTTTTGTGTGTGTTTTGTTTTTCTCTTCGGGAAGCTTTAAAACCAGCAGGGTCGGTGGCACAAGGGAGCACATGTCCTGTAATCAGACCGCAGCTTGTAACAATCTGTAAAACAGCTTCTTAGTTGTGCATGAAAGTACAGCGTACATCCTGCTGTTACACATTTAAAATCTCATCTCTAAAAATAAGGAGATGTTGTAAAATGTTATTCAAATAACACAGCAATGGAGCTGAATGAGTATAAAGAAGTGCATGGTGTGTGTGTGTGCGTGCGCGCGTGTGTGTAGCAATTCAATTATTGACAAGGTTTTGCAACAAAAGGCGGAGCCCTTCAGAAAACCTTTTCACGTCACATCCACTAACTTTATGGATTCTATTGCAGGTTATTTGGTAGAGGAAACACATATTAGTGCACAGCTGTGAAGTGGTAGAAAAAAAAAATCTTTGTTTTTTTTTATACTAGTGAAAACCAGACATTTGTGGTATGCATTGGTTTTCAGTTCCTTTCACTTTGACATTCTTAACCAAAATCCAGTGCAACAACCTAATTTAGTATTTAGAGTCTCAATATAAATAGTTGTAAAAAAAAAAAGAACATTACTAAACATGCAGACAAGAGCAATAGAACGAGCCAGTCACAGTCCAGACCTAAATCAGTGGCAAGAAATGAAAAATGACATTCATAGTGGATCTCCGTCTGACCCGGCTGAGCTTGAGCTCATTTGCAAAGAAATTTGAGCAGAATCTTCAGTCTCTGGATGTACACGTACATGTGGAAAGTTGCAAAGGCACATATCCTAAAAAATGGGCAACTGTGTTTGCTGGAGACAGTAGATTCCACAAATACGGTCCCATACAGATGCATGCCACACGTTTGCATTTTTGTGAAAAAAACAAACAAACAAAAAAAAGACATGATTATCCATATCTGATTTGTCTTTCATTTCACAATTATGCAGCACTTAGTGTTGGACTGTCAGTCTAATAAAAATGTGTAATGAGAAACAGTAAAACATCCACTGCTCTTAATGAGCTTTTGAAGATACTGTAGAAGTCAAGCTTGAGTATTTTGTATGTAGTAACAACGAAAGATATTCGATCCTTCTTATCACACAGTGAGGAAAGTTAATAAAAGCTGTGTTTGTCTGTATGGTCTTCAGGTGTCACTGTGTCTAAAAGCAGAGGGAAGGTTCAGATCAGTGAACACAAATCATGACTGCTCACACAAAAAAACCTGTAAGCCTATGGCATTAAAGTTTGACAGAGGCTGAGTAGGAAATAAATTTAAAACCATCTAAAGAATGGGAAATTGTATTTCACTCTGACAAATCTGGGTGCTGGATTTAAAAGCTGAGCTGCAGGCTGGACTCATTCAGCATCTCAGAACCCAGCTGCGACTGTGAGTGGGTGCATGGGTCAGCTGCACATCTGTGAAGTTCCCTCCTCCCCACACACTGATGCTAAGCTATATCCCATATACACGTTTTGGATCGACAGTCAATGTTCCCACGCAGGCGACGTATTTGGGAAGGTTACGCTTTAGCAGAACCTGCATCGAGAATATCCATGCGGAGACCTTCAGTAGCCGAACAGGCTTCCTTCAGTCAGTCCCGACACACTGAAACATCTGCCTCAAAACAACTGAAGCTGGTAGCTTGACTCTTAGGCAACAGAAACCCCAGACCAAGAGACAACTGACTGCACAACATTTGATACAAACGGGGTTCAAAAACACAGAGGATGTGGAAAAACCCATCTGATTTTATTCAATGGATTGCATAGATAAGTCAGAATGTACAAAGTGTATTCTCAGTGTGTTTCACTGAGCAGAATTCTCAATAACAGGAATATGTCTCAATGGTACTTATTGCATTATTATATCAATAATTTTTTTTTACACATTTCTAAATGTTCCTGACTTGACATTAATCATATTGTTAGTGTTTTGACCAATATTTTGAGAATTTAATATTGAGATAAATATTTGCATTACTTAGTATCTCACCTGACATGTGACAAATCCTAGTTATAGTGATCTCAAATACAGAAAGCATAACTGCTGCATTCAAGAGCAGTCTGTGCTTTTTATTTGATCTCTCCACAGTCAGTGATGACTATTGTCTTGAGCACTCCTCCATCGTGTAGACCAAAGGACTGCATCTTCATGACTGCATCCATGCCGTCCGTCACCTGCCCGAAGACCACGTGTTTTCCATCCAGCCTGCCAGTCGGAACACAACAGCTCAGCCCAGTAGAGAGACACACCCGGATGCGATGAGGTTCTGTGAAGACGGGCGAGTGCCTACCACTCGGTTTTTGCTGTACAGATGAAGAACTGCGAGCCGTTCGTGTGTGGCCCCGAGTTCGCCATCGAAAGCGTCCCTGCGGAGACAGAAACACCAGTCAGAGCGTTGTCACACTCCAGAACACCTCTGTGTCCCCTTTTACTTTTACCCCTGATCAAGGAGCATTAAGGCCTCACTGAAGAACATGATAAAGGTCAAGAAATGCGTGAGGGAAAAAGAGGCCTGTTTTTCTTCCTGGACGGCTTACGCAATCTCTGATCACACAACAGAATGAGCCCTGAAAAAATGAACTCCATGTGAAAAAAAAAATGTTGATCTGAGAAAAAGAAATGATTTTGATTTGTTCATGTTGGCTCCTTGAAAAGTAGGTCATTCACATCAGGATTGCAAAATCTATATGACCAGAAGTTTGTATGGCTTCATGAGCTTAAGAACTGCCATCTAGTGGAGAGGAAGAGTAAGTTCATCACTGGGGGAACTTACTGGGTTTTATTGAGGTTTTTTTTTTTTTTTTTTTTTACACACATATATATATATATATATATATATATATATATATATATATATATATATATATATATATATATATTCTGTCTGGTTAAGTCTGTCAGGTTTCAGGCTCATTTCCAAACTGTCTTCTCTTTTCAGAACAAAATAGTTTTCATTTAGCAGAGTCACTGGTGAATCAT